AAAACAACACACGTCCGCAACAACTCAGCACTGAAACAAAAAACAATAAGGAATAGCACTGGTACAACAACCAGAACTAGAACCAGAACAACAATAACATTTTCGTCGCATTACGCATTTAAACTTGAATTAAAATTTCTATTGCAAACGCTTAACACATTGCAAGTACAAAACTCGAGCAGTTGAAGAGCAAGGTTGAAAAAAAGACTGTAATTTTGTTGTAACAAAGAGCAAAAATACCAACACATTAAATGCACGAAAGCCTAAATTAAAGAGTATTAACGGTTCTGTGCATTTTCATTTGCTGTCAATGCAAATTGAAAGCGAAAAAGACAAAAAGAAGAAAATTTAAAAAAAAAACTTAAAAAATAATATATGCAAAAACAAAAAAAAAAAAACAAATACAAAAGTGCAGATACGCCCCAGCGTTTAAATATTTCAATAATAACAAAAACACTAACAAAGCGCATACTATAAACACNTTTTTTTTTTTTTTTTTGGCATAACATATAACAAATTTGTTGCAAAATAAGAAACCCGAAAACTTGGCTATTTGAATTTTTCACATAAATTTTGAGGTTATGTCCAAAAGGTATTGATACAAAAGTCATAGATCTTTTCATTAGCGAGAAGTTTGTCATATAAGTTTTTTCTATAAGATTCACAATTTTGCAGGAAATCCAGATAAACAGTTTTAACCCTTAAAATTCAAAAACGTCTCTCCCCGTCTTCTTACTAACTTCAGATCGTATGTAAATTATTTTTCATGTAGTTTTTGTAATTTCATTTTTCGTTTCCAATGTGTCTCAACCTATTATGAACTTCTTACACTTTTTACCACTTTAAAGGGCCTGCTTAGATGAATAAATGAGGATTACACCGCGAGCCAAGGTTTACATATTGTGCTCTCTCCTAAGTCACAACGACTCACTTCGCCCCATCATATTGATAAATTCCGATATATGTATTGCTAAGTGTTATAGAGTCGATGTGATCTCTATTTGGAAATAGGAATCCAAGGGCGTACATCTTGCGCCTACAGACTACTGTGAAGGTATTCTGGAGTTTCAGACTCTAAGTAGCAGAGCTGACAATTCGCACAAGAAGCTAGGTCCATGTTATGTAAGTGCCTCTTAAGATTACAATGGACAAAATAGAAGGCGACAAGCAGCCTGAGTTTATCCTTTGAGACATTTTAAGGTTGTAACCACCCATTAACAACTTGGCATGACGCATGACATGCCTAGAAGATGTTGCCAATATCTCAACCTAACCAGTGCTTCATCCTTGCGGTACAGGTTCATTATGATATTGGGACCAACGGAAATTAAAGGTTCGGGTACTACCACGTTCCCGGACGCTGCGGAGCGGACAAGCTCATCAGCCAGTTCATTCCTAGCTATAATTTTGGGACCTGCCACCCAGACAAGGTGATAGACTGTTCAGTCAGGCGCAGTACTGCACCAATAGCGATTTGATCTCGTAAGCGGAGATCGCTTGGAATGTCGCTTGACTGTCGCTTAGTATAACTATACGTTCATTGCACCGACTTATAGCAAAGACCTCTGCTTGGAATATGCCCGAAAAACTACCCATAGGTATTTGGAGTTTGGTGCACGCTTTCCTCCGACGTTTTCGAGTCGTCGGAGTTAATTGAACTATTCCTAATCATTATCTCGTGAGTGGAGTCGTTCCATTCAGCATTACGGCTGAGGATACCCTTGAACTTTCTAGTGAAGTTTACACTTTTGATAATGCTGTCCCTTGGGAGAAAAGCCAGTGGTATATAAAGGAGAGATATTTGTTTTCGAAGGTATTAAATTCTACGTAAATTTCCAAATAATATCTGAAAACTTAATCAAATAAAAATTTTAGTACTAATAACCATCTGTAAAGAACTCAACAAATCGAATCAATTTCCTAGCGGGCACCTAGCTACCTCTATGGGGACAATTTGCTTATCCCCAACAGCACGTGTTCAATGACAGTCAGCACAAATGTGAGTACAGCAAACATGTGAAACTGTATTAATCGACTGCAATGTTGCCATGCAACAGTGATAAAAATAAAGCGAAAGTGTATTAGCAATTTCATAAAATTCGATAACTAGCAAATACATACAAACTTGACACACTACAGCATGGCCGGTCACCTGCTGACACTGCTCCATGAGCTAAACCGTCATCAAAAATGGGTGGAACAAAACAGCTGAGCAAGCAGACCAACAGTGAGAAATACAAACATATGCTCAAAGCACACACACACTTGTAGAAAAAAGAAACATTTTTACATATAGTTTGTATATGCATGGCAACAATGTCTTCCCGGTTTTTACTTTCCGCACAACTGATTGCATGAATGAACGAAGAAAACCACCCTTGCTTCGCCGAATGCAGAGCAACAAAAAAAACGCCTCAACGTAAGTAAATTAAAGCTTCAGCTAATGGATTATAAAGCAGAGCCTTAACTTACGGCGTTGCAATGCGACGCCGCTCGAGGTAGTGGCGGTCGGTCCACAAATGCACATACACACGCATGCTTGAGCTGTCTGCTGGCGAAAAGCGCTGCACACTACGTAAGCAAGCATAATGCCGGGTATGAATAGTTGGTCGTTTGGTTAGTTGGATGGCTGAGCATTTTGCTGTTTTTGACAGCAAAGACTTCGTCATCTGTCGCGATGTTGTTGTTGTTTGAATTTTCGGTTGCTAACAGACCGCGAGGCATATTTGTTGACGCATTTCCAAGCAGGATTAGCACAGCAAATGCTCTGGCTCTCTCCGAGTTTCCATTGAAATCACACCACTTTTACAACGCAAAACTTCCACATGTGCATAGAACTTTGCCGAAGACCAGGTGACAGCAGCTGACACGCTGCTTTATTGTTATTGCACGGTGAATTGTCAGAAATTTTACGCTCAACGAAAATTTGCTTTTCGCAAAACAAAGCAATATATAGAAGCGAAACAAGTAGCTAAACAAAAACTAAATAAACTTGAATGCAAACAAAACAATTTTTGTTTGTCTATCTATAAATGAGCGCAGCACCTTTCCGGCAGAGCGGTGACAATGCATTGTTGATAAATGAGCGAGTAGCGGCAGCAGAGTGGCGACGAAATATTATCCGCTCGTTCGTTGAGAGCACAGCGGTGTGCGCCTACTGCGCCTGCCTGCTCAAATGGGCGCTATTGGGAGAGTGCGAAAACGTCTGCAGCATATACACACACATGTATGCATATATGGTTTTAACGCGTTGCAGCAACAAAGACGGCGGTCAAATACAAAGCATTCCCATAGACATGTGTACACACACCGCCTTGTTCAGCTGCTTGTGGTACCACACTACGTATGCGTACCCTGCACCACCACCAACAYCGCTGCCGTCGCTACAAATCATCTTCGCTTGAAATTCGTATAACAGTTTTCGTTGTTCAGCCGTGTAGCTGTATGCATTGGCAAGTTTTACAGCCAGGTCAGTTGGCAGTCGGCAGCGAAACAACCGTGCGAATTGTGCTTTCCTCTAGTGGTGCAGCGTAACACTGTTGRACCACAATTAGCTAAAGCAAAATTCATATTTTCTTCTAGCATAATATTTTTATTCAGCTAAAGTTGACGAAAAAAGCGAGCAAATATAAATATTGCTTGCAAGTGTTAATAAAAGAACAGTCGCACGACGACAGCGTCGTTGACGGCGACGTTCACAAACGAACTTTTACAGCCACCGGCAAGGCAGTCGGTCACTGCGCTGTGAAAAATCATATAAGAAATATGTTATAAGGTATATAATAAATTTAAATTGTCAGCGATAAATAAAACAACAACAATAAAATAATAAAAACTGCGAGTTATACAATAAAAATTCAACTGAAATTCAATTGACGTACGTTGTTATTGTTGGTTGGAGGCACTGATGGAGCTATTAGGCAAGAAACAACTCTAGCAACGACAACAGCAGTGACGTCTGAGTCAACAGTAAAGCCAACGACGAGAGCAACGTTGCGACTAACTGCTATACGAAACTAAAAGCAACAGTAACAGCCAAAACAATAACAGTAGCAACAGTGACAGCGGTGCTACTGCCTATACCAGTAATGTCACTGGCGTTGGCGTTGACGTTAACGGTGGCAGCGTACATAAACGCGTCAGCTGCGTAGCTGTGACTGAGGCGACAACGTTCTTTATAACAAGCTCGTGGATTTGTTGTTTTTGTTGAAAACATTTATCGATCACGCGTCGAACGAAACGGAGCACTCGCTCGGCGAACACACATTTGTATAATGTAATATGSTTGTATAAAACAAACATTAAAAAAATAGAAAATTAAATATTCATTGTCAAAAGGCAAAACGGAAACTTTGCGGTCGTGTAGAACAAAGCGGAAAATCGAAATATAGCAAAATACCAMAAAAACAAAACGGTACAAAACGCTAACACACCACATTCGACAAGCGGAAAATGAGCTATTAAAGTGTATATAGCAAGAGGAAGCATCGTGAGACAAAAAGAAATATAGAAATTAATGCATTTGCCAATTTTCTAATGTGATGCCATTTATGTATGCATGTCAATGCAATACATTTTGAAAAATGTTAACCAACTAGCACACCTGCAAACCAAAACAACACACGTCCGCAACAACTCAGCACTGAAACAAAAAACAATAAGGAATAGCACTGGTACAACAACCAGAACTAGAACCAGAACAACAATAACATTTTCGTCGCATTACGCATTTAAACTTGAATTAAAATTTCTATTGCAAACGCTTAACACATTGCAAGTACAAAACTCGAGCAGTTGAAGAGCAAGGTTGAAAAAAAGACTGTAATTTTGTTGTAACAAAGAGCAAAAATACCAACACATTAAATGCACGAAAGCCTAAATTAAAGAGTATTAACGGTTCTGTGCATTTTCATTTGCTGTCAATGCAAATTGAAAGCGAAAAAGACAAAAAGAAGAAAATTTAAAAAAAAAACTTAAAAAATAATATATGCAAAAACAAAAAAAAAAAAACAAATACAAAAGTGCAGATACGCCCCAGCGTTTAAATATTTCAATAATAACAAAAACACTAACAAAGCGCATACTATAAACACAAGTTGCAGCGCGCAAGCAGCTGAGCAGAGTCAAAAGCGAGGATAAATGAAAAATAAATACTCAAAAAGTTACATATAGGCATATAGAAGACCACATTTTGTGGAAAAGCGGCAAAGTGTAACAAAGAAAATGCTCATGAACACATACATACAGACTTATATGCATATAAACAAAAACGTGTAGAAAATAAGCTATATATTAAAGGCGTTAAAAAGCTTGGATAATGTATTTATTCATATAATAACAATATTACAATTTACTACGCAGCAAAAAGCACTGATTTCAATTAAAACAAAAAAATCAAAAATAAAAGAAATTGTAGGTGAAACGTAAAACAATTGCATTACCCGCTAAATATCCAACTCAAGTAAGCGTGATTATAAAAAGTAGCAAGTAAAAACAAATTTTTTGAAAATATTTCATTACAAATTTTTAGCCACAAAAGTGACACTCTCGTTAAAAACGCGCGCTTTTTTTAGCTTTGCTTTGCAAACTTATATACTTTCAAAACATGTGTTTATATATATTTAAAAATAGAGAATAATAAAAATACAAAATTAAGTAGTTTAGCGTTACCTGAATTGTTGAAAATTCTGCTTCTCCGGTAGCACATATAATGTAAATTTGTTAAAAATAAAAATAAAAAGCAATTTGCTCAAGTGCATTGCATAGTTACTGCAGCGCATAACAAAAACAAAAAAACATACGAATACATAGCCAAAGCGTATAAAACAAAAACATCATTGAAATAAAACAAAACACACACACGAAAAGTGTCATTCCATTCGATAACGTCAACAAAACAAAGTGTAAAATAATATCAAGAAATTATCAAATAAATAATATCAATAGCAAGCAAAAATTCATAGCCAAACGCGCTCTCGCACTCACGCCGAGTGCTAGCAGCGCAACCAAGAGCTGAGCGAACATTCTATAACGAAACTGTCATACGTTCGGTGCTCGCAATACGCTCGCCGCTCAACCACCCTTGAAGGCGAATAACGACGACGACTACTATTGCTACTGAGAATACTCATCATCATCAGAGCACACGACAGTTGTACCGCGCGTTTTGTCGTTGCCGTTGTGGTCGTAGTCGTCTTCGCCAACGTTATCGACGGAGAGCAGAGAGAATAGTGTTGTTGTAGCAGCCCACCACCCATCAAACAACCGACAAGCCGACAAGCTAACCAGCCAGACAAGTAACTAACAGCGCGAGCGAACAAACGTGCAGAGTTAATGTGTGACAGCGAGCCAGGCAACCGCCAGCAGTCAGCAGTTAGCACAGCAGTCTGCGAAGATAAAGCTTAAAACAGTGCCGAAATCCAAAAGGAAGAAATTCTTAAATTAATATTGAACTTTGCTGAACCGCGACAATTGACCATCAATAATCGCGGTGGTCGCAAGTTCTCGAGCGTACTTACAATAAGAATTAAAATAAAATTAAATAAAAAAAAATTAAAAAAGAAGTTAAAAAATATAAAATATAACAATACGCACATCAAAAACAAAAACAACAAAAGTATTCGCCTATAATCGTACGTGGTAGAGAAAAAAGTGAAAGTCAAAGTAGAAGGAAAAAAGGGACAAAAAAACGTGTAGGGAGTTGACAAAATAAAGGTAGCAAACCAAAAACTCTTTTACTCGTGATGTAGTGGCAAGCAGAAAGCAAGCAAGCGAATAAACAAAAGAAATAACTTCTGAAGTGCAACCACGGCTACGAAGTGTAATAAAACACTTAAAAGTGACTATAAAACATAAAAGAAAAAAGGATAAGTGAAGTTATTGTATTGAAGCAAAAAATACTTGGAACACCTAACAACTACCTAACTTCGTTAGAATACGCCACTTAACCTCTAACTCTATAGCAATAAGAAAAACTAGTATTAAAAATTAAAAATATGGGTGATACAAATGCGCTGGGTTCCGGTACGCGTCTACGTAAATTCGATCGTACAGACAGTGAAGTTGCATGTGAGGAAGCCGCGCGCCTTACCGCCGATCTGCAGGAAGGCACCGTCAGTCCAGACGATGAGGATGATCTCAGCGAATACGGCGAGCTGCCACCACCGCCAGATGGCGGTTACGGTTGGGTCATCTGCTTTGCGTCATTTATGTGCAACATGATTGTGGACGGTATCGCGTACACGTTCGGTATATTCCTTGGTGAATTCGTCGATTACTTTGGTGAAGGCAAAGGCAAGGTGGCCTGGGTAGGCAGTTTACTGAGTGGTGTTTATCTGAGCGCAGGTCCAATTGTGTCCGCGTTAGCGAATAAATATGGTTGCCGTGCAGTATGCATTGCCGGTAGCGTTGTGGGTTGTATTGCATTCGTACTGAGCACGATGAGCACCTCCATTAACATGCTGATGCTAACATATGGTGTGATCGGAGGTTTCGGCTTCGGTATGATTTACCTGCCTGCAGTTGTGGCTGTCGGCTATTATTTTGAAACCAAACGCTCACTGGCCACGGGTATTGCTGTATGTGGCTCTGGTTTCGGCACGTTCGCCTTCGCGCCATTAGCTACGTATTTGTTGCAGTTGTATGGTTGGAAGAATGCACTACTCATCTTCGCGGGTCTAATTTTGAATTGCGCTATATTTGGCGCTATGATGCGTCCACTCACCTACCCCAAAAAGAAGAAGGTTAAACCGCTCATGCAACGTATGTACGAGGAAAAGCAATTGCAATTGGAACGTGGTTCAATTGCTGGCTCACATTTCATGGTACAGCTGCCCGACGGCACCATGGAGCGTAAGCTGAAAATGCCACTCAATGCCGATCCCGGTGTACACTCTAGTCTCAATTTGGAATTGCTCGCCCAACAGGGTTCATTACATCCCGTCTCAACTTTACCAACTATAACCGAAGCAAAAGTGGTCGAATATCAAACTGGCGCACAAAGTCCACCAACTGTCGATAGCAATGGACAATTGGATGTGAAGCGTAGCGGTAGGCGTTCACATCGTAATTCGGAAACCGAGACCAGCCCTTACAACTCTGCGGATGCAATGACACGCAATGCTTCACAGCCCGCCTTTATGGCAGACCATCAAAGTCTTCCAAAGAATGGTTCGGTGCCTTCGTTCAATCGTGTACGCAAGACGTCAGCCAGCGAACGTTTCCAGCCATCCTTAGCCGCCATACGTGCATCATCGCGCGGCGATCTCGACAGCAATGGTGTTGAAATGGGATTTACCTCATCGAAAATATCGCTCTCACAGAGTCAGTCCAGTGGCAAAATGGTACGTCCAATGTCACGTAAAGATATCTTCTACTCCGGATCTGTGACAAATCTGCCACAATACCAGTCGCAAAAATCGCTCACGAATTACCGCAACTCCGTGCTATCGTTAACCAAATATGAAAAGAGCATGCAAAGTGTACGTGTACATGATCCCTTGGCTGAAGCAGAAAAAGGACGTGGGCAATACGATCTTTGTCCCTGTCTCACCATACCAGACTCCATTAAATCCGTATTCAATACAATGTTGGACGTCAGCTTATTGAAAGATCCAGTTTTTATGCTTATCGGCGTCTCCAATATATTCGGTATGGCCGGTTTGTACGTGCCATTCGTGTATCTCGTGGATGCGGCTAAAAAGGACGGAATCGAAGATAATTCAGCATCATTTCTACTCTCAATTATCGGCATAACAAACACCTTTGGCAGGGTAATTTGCGGTTATGTGGCCGATTTTCCCAAAGTCGACTCACTATTTCTCAACAACATTTGCCTACTCATTTCCACGGTGGCCGTTACATTAACACCGCTTTGCTCTTCCTACGGTGCCTACGTGACCATGTCCATTTTCTTTGGTATCGCCATCTCCGGTTACATTTCACTCACGTCAATTATACTCGTAGATCTATTGGGACTGGACAAGCTCACCAACGCCTTCGGCTTGCTCATTTTATTCAGAGGTTTTGCCGCCATCATTGGATCGCCACTAGCAGGCGCTGTTTACGATGCAACCCAAAGTTACGATCTGCCATTCTATATGGCGGGCGGTTTATTTGCGCTATCCACGATCACCAGCTTTATGGCGCCATGCCTGAAACGTTGCACCACCTCCGATGAAACACCAATGCAGATTGATACGCTCACACCAATCGATGAGGAGCAAGGTGAAGAGGCGGAAGATGAAGAGGACCAGCCCATAACAATTGTTCCGAAAATTGTGAAAACTCTACCCAGTCCACAACATGAAGAGGTGGACAGAGGATTTCCAAGTGAAACCAATAAAAGTGGCGCCGAATCCAAGTTATAAAGTGGTAAAAAATTCAACCAAACGCTAGCTGGGCGTTAGAATATTTTGTTGAAATTTTGTTTGCGGTAATAGGTTACACGAAAATGCCATATAAAGTGAAGAATGAAAGTGTTACAGGAGGTTACACACACACACAATTGCGTATTTGTGCGCTGTCAAGACTACAAAAAACCAGAGCGATATTTTTTTTAATAACTAACCATTATTAAGCTTAAAAAGTGAAAAATCAATTATAACAGTAATAAAAAGAACAACAAATAAACTCAGCTAATAAGCTAATTTTAAATGCATACACAAACACACACATACACAATACACGCAAACACACAAATTTAAAAGTCTAGCTTTCTAGCTAATTTATAACTTATATTATTAGTATTTTATATACTAATTAAAATAGCTAAACGAAACAATAAGCTCACAATATAGCTAAAGGGTTGGCTTATAAGTAAACACCTATAAATCGAAGCCCAAACGCGTTAGAGTTCGAAATCTAAGCAAAATGTACCAAAAAAGTCGCACCAAAACAACAAGCAAACAAAAAAATTATTATTGTACTGTAGATATGTATGTACTGGATTGTACGCATGATTTTAATGTGAATGCAAAACGAAAAATGTTAAACAATTATTATTTGTTGTTAATAAGAAAAATGCTGCATTATTATATGCATATGTAAATGTGAATTTGTAAGGCAAACCATGCAATTTGTAAAGTGTGAGAGAGATTAGAAACGCGAGTATTGTAGAAAATTCAAGCGACTCGCAAAAAATCCTTTTTAATCGGTAATGTACTTGAAACTTATGTGTATAGTGCTAGGCATACTAAATATGTAAAATATGTAGAAAACGAGAGTGAATGCGATTGTGAAGCGAAAATATAGTATTGTTTACAAATCAACTCAAAACTCTATATTTATACGTTAATGTGTAAATATTTTCGATTCAATGAAACAATAAAACAAAACACTGTTAACTCGTTACAAACGATTTTTGATGCGTTGTATATTTATGTGTACAATAATTACATATGTCTATATAATCAGTTAGTTACTAATGCTCTTAGGTATAGACAAAAATATATATTTTTTTCTTTTTAAAATTTCACATAACGCGCCTTCTTTTCAGCTATATTTTGATATATGTACATTGTAAAGTGCTCAAATCGAAAATCGTTTCACGTATGTGAAAGAGGAATTTTTTAAGCGTACAATGCAACCTGAGCGGAAGAGTATTCACCTCAGTGCGAATTGTCAACTAATTATTACGTATATATATATATTTTTTATTTAAGTAGTTTTAATTGCGGTATGCAATTGAAAAAAAAGGAATTAAGAAATAGAATAAACGAAATATATATACATATACATAGTATGTATGCAAAAAGCAACAATGTGAAGCAACAGAATCAATAAGCACAGCGTTTAAGCTGGCACCCAATTCTAGGCATGCCTATATATACACAAAATACTAATTATAATAAAGCATAATAAATGCATGTGTATAATTAATTAATTAWGTATATAAAAGCTAAAAAAGCATGTTGAAATTGGAAAATGTACAAAGCACACAGTAATGATAAAAACAAAAATGTGAAAAATTCGACATATAAGAAATTGTTATTACTAGTATTATTTAGAAAAAGGAAAATAAACGAAAAATTCATAAAGAAAACTATTTATTTAATATTATTTCAGCTATGCCATTGTATGAATTTTTGCAAATGGATGTCCATAAATTTTGCAAATTAATGAGTAAAAAGTTAAAAAAAAAATTGCTAATAAAAACTAATGCAGCAATTTTTTTTTAGTGCCGCATAAAATACTGTGACGTATACATACATATATATGAGAATAAATTGTATAATATACAATGCATGAATTGCCAAGAAACTGCAGGTGTTTTACTAAATTTCAAATATGCCAAGCGGTAAGTATCAACAAGAACCGAAAGAAAGTGTTAATTAATTATTAGAAATTACGAAAAACCACAGAACCGTTGCCACGACAGTCGGCACAAAGTAAACGAAACGAACACGGATTTTTAACCGACCAAGGACTCGGAAATTACTTAAGGAATGTTATCTGTCACTACAGCAAGAACAATAGCACTTGGATGCAATTTTTTTGCGAAAGTTTATTTTTTTAATTTTTGGAAAACAATAATAGCCGAATTCTCAACAGAAAGCTATGTTTTTTTGTAAGTTTTTTTTTATTTATGTACGTAGATATACGATGCAAAAGTTCTAAAATTAGTATATATGTATATATATATGTAAATATATTTCATAGCTTTTTATAAAATTTGAGTGGTAAAGTTCTTTGATTATCACAAGTCAATGGCTGTTGCAATACACTATACATGTACATATGTACATGCAAGAAGTATTTGTTGTACGTATGTATATTAAACAGTATAAACAATTAATCGTGGTATACATAATACACATACGACTCACATGTACATTCGCACACACAACGGAATATAAAATATATGGTGTTAGCGATAACGTTTCAAATAATTTAAATAGACTAAGGCAATTAATATCGGAAAATGCCGAAGTACGCTGCACTTGTGGTCATTTAAGTTGAGTATAAATTAATTGATTTCAAATATATGCATTTTAAACGTATCTGCGTTGTAGAATTCTGCTCGAAAAGGTAAAAAAAAGCCATATTTTTATAAGTAAGAATTCATTTGGGAGTATGTATGTATATGCACCAAGTCTTCACACTAAATCGATGAATAATTGAGAGAACTGAACATTATTGCTATATAGCAATGCAAAGAATTTTGCAGCACAATAAAACGTTATATTTATCTTTGATAACATAGGTGCTTAAATACGCGATAAGAAAAGCGCCTGGACGGCAAAAATGAAATTCGTTACTATTCTAGGAACCAATTGATATAGTCAAATAGTTTATAATATAAACAATTTAATCATGTTATCACTAGTTCATTAGCAAATAAAATGATAAAACGGTGCCGAAGCACACTCGCAGTTTTAGTAGTGTAAAATTATGGGCACCGGCATAACATTGGTCAACAATTTTAAACAAAAATTTGCTACACCAATTTTAGTATTTTATTGCATCAGATACGATATGATCGACTGCACTGGTTTCCAACCATTTATAGTATAAATATAGAAATGGAAAAAAATGCTTGGCACTTACCGCTTGAGTGGTGTGGTTTCACTTCCAAGACGGCGTTTTGTATAATGTGTTGGGATTGGTGTTGCGCATGGCTGTGATGAATAATTTGAGTTTCGTTGGACATTTGTATGGAACCAGCCGTAATCATTGTACCTGACGACACCATTTGTATGGCACCAGGTTGTGCAACACATTCGACGATTTCTTCTTCCAGCTATTCATTTGATAGTACAATAGAAATTAATTTGATAATTTCACTTGACTTGTTCAGTTTAGCTTACCTGTGCAACTGGTGCTTCTGGGTGCATTCCTGGCATTTGCGTCATTTGCGTAATTTGAGGGTCTTCATAAATATGCATCATGCCCATATGTTGTTGCACCTCGTGTATTTGTGGATCATATATTGCATAGTTTGGGCTAAGCATGCTCGGTGTATCAACAGAGCCCATGGAAGAGGCGTTGTGATTGATATCTTCACCGGCATTATGCATTTCGGGATTCATGCCATATTCATCGGCATAAATCGGTTGTGCATGCCACATAGGCGCCACCATACCTTCGGGATTTTGACGCTCATCACATTGACCGTCTTCGCCGGGCAAAAATTGATATTCGGGCGGATTCATAACGGGCGGATACACAAATGGACTGCCCATGTAGTTATAGACGGGTGGTGCATTATACATTGGCATATGCGAAACATACAGAGGTGTGCCAGTGGCTTGTTGTGCGGCCTGCGCTGGATGCAATATTGGATTCTGAGCAGCAAAATATGCTTGATATGGATAAGCGGCATATGCTGATGGATGCGCATATTGCGGTTGTGCGGCATAACTTGGCGGTGCTGTAGCCATTAATTGGTTAGAGGAGTCGATTTGTTGCGATTGTTGTTGTTGTGTTAATGACTGTTGTTGGCCAATTTGATCTTGCGTTTGTACCATTTGCGGTTGTGGCGCTGGACTACCTTCCGGTGGTGGATGTCGTTGATTATTGTAATCGCCACGACGTGAACCGCCACTACCACCACGACCGCGTCCGCGACGTGAGCCACGACTACTCATGGTACCCATTTGCGTACTGAGATTGCCATTTCCACCGGCAGCAACAATAGCATTCGACGGTGCCAAAGCTACAGGCATACCAGGTATAGCTTGCAGAACAGATGGATTCTGAAAGTGGAAATAAAAGTTTAATTTTTACTTCACACAATTGTATTATAATATATACCTGATCTGGGGGCATGTCACCCTGAATGTAATGTGGTGCTCCACCAGGTATATAAGCTGGTACTGTATGTGCCCATCCGTGCAAATTTACGTTTGCTGTAACATTGTTTACGTAAACATTGCTGGGTATTTGCGCCGGCATCATAGCTGCATACATAGGTCCCGCTTGATGAACACCCGGCGCTGGCACAAACATATTGGGTGAATGCATTGCTTGATTGTAAATAGGATGACCTGCTGACGTGGCCGCCACACTATGTAAGGGAGCTGCGGCGGCTGCCGGAACGGGTGTATATGATTGAGCAGGCGCGATTGCATTGCTAGACTGTTGAACAGTTAAGTTATTATTGTTTGTATTATTGCCATTGTTGTTGTTGGCCGCAGGAGTAAATGGCTGAGCAGAAACAGTAAGATTATTATTTTGTAAAGATGTTACTTGCTGAGGTTGATTATTAATCAAATGATTATCCGCGTGATTATTATTGTTGGGATTCTTGATTGTTGTGGACGATTCCATTTTTCTCTCGAAATAAAACCTTTTTATATGAAATGTAATTGAAGTTCGGTATGGCGCAGGTAGAACTGAAATAGGAAATATAATTTTATTAAAACTTTATACCAGTATTTCCTCAAAATAGTATATTTTATAAATTCCACTATGTTATCTCCGCAGCTGGACGTGTCCAAAATTTGAAATAGTATTTCTTAATTAGCTTAACAATTTTTACTACGTTTTCTGTTTAAATATAAAAATGTAGTAAAACCAAAGCGTACGGCGTGCGAGATAATAATATTATTACAGTGGTACTTTTTGGCAAAGTACATAAAAGTGTACTTAAATTACATTACTAGAAATTCACTACCGGGCAAAAAAATATTGCATAAATAAAGGAGCAACTTTTTCAGTGTGATTACATAAATATGAAAATCAAGTCCCAACATCACATAATTTAGGAAAGACAACAAAAATGCATTGTAAACAATGGCAACTACATTATTTAGAAGCAGAAACAATCACAATAAAAGAAGACTTATCCTTCATGTTAAATTATCTGTTTTTGTATTTATCCTGATAACCGGCATATTTACAGCCGATACACATAGACTAGTTTTTGGGTTCACATAGCGTAAATAACAGAGTGAACTAGACAGGCATGTGAAGGGATTTTTTCCTAATAAATTCAAATATATGCTGACCTTTAACTTCATTTCGTCCGCTTGTCACAAAAATGCGGTATAAAAAAAACCCCAAAATGTAATCTCTGTAACATAACCTAAAATATTTTGAGCACTCAATATTTTATTATTTCTTATAAAGGTTTACAAAAATTTTGGTGTAAATTAAATGAAAATGAAGTTGCAACATAGCACCACAACTGGCATTAAGTTACAACACAAATAAAACTGCATTCGATAAAAATTATGATGGCGTGATGAAATGTTTGCGACGCGTTTATACAAATTTACATATGTTTGCTTGCATGTGTGTTTGCGGCGATTCAGTTCAGCCTGCCGCCTGCCTGTGTGGCACTTTTACGACACATAACTTGAGTGATTGTAAACTTTGTCCCTCTCAAATGCATTTATTATCATAACTATATACAATAATACTTCTTTATTCACATAATACGTACCTTCAGATTTTCATTTCATATTCTTTGCTTACGGACTAGCAGCCGAGCACCATACAACTATTTGTTTCAATAGCTCTGGATTAATTTTAGGAAGTGTTTACTGATGCAAATCCTGTTGAAACTGTCAAGTGCGCCTAGTTCCCTACTTCAATATCTTCTTTGAACTGTCTCCACAAAGTCGGAATGAAGTACTTCTCGCCAGCCGCAACACGCCGCTTTTATTGCTCCCTAATTAATACTTTTACAGATTCCAGCACTTATTCAGCTGTATTCTGTTCACTGATACTAGAACGACAAACACGATATTTTTGCAGTTCTGCCGTCTTATAGCCTGTGATTACTGCAGCACTGTTTTATTTTCTTTACACACTTTAATTAGCAATAGATTTGACCGAGCATTCTCACTACGAATCAAATAAAGAAAAACAAAATATTCAATATGCGAATTGAAATTTTGTGTCTTATGGTATATCGTTACCGTGGGTAAAACGAAATTAATAGTTCACTGTTTTTGTTTAATGTATGCACGGAAAGTTTAACTCGTGGAAAAAATATTTCTTTTCTTTCTTCCTTTACTTTGCCTTTAGTAAATTCACGTTCTTGCAACTTTACGTGCCTAGTGCGGCGAACGGTTTACATCAAATACGAGGAAGAATGCGAAAACGAGATAAACGAAGGCTCATGACTGACAATACTATGCGAGCGAAAGGGATTTAACACTGGAAAGCGGTGAAAATGGCGACAGAGGAATGCCAATGGAAGTCAGGGTTGCATTATGTGAAAGGTGTGTTTTCCAGTATTTTCCATTGTAACTGAGCGCGAAATTTGTCTTTTCGATCGAAATTTTAATTTCGCTCGTATTATAAAAATCTTGCTGATTTTAAATAATTAACCGCTTGTAAGTGTATGCAAATCAAAGTTTAAAATGGAAGACTTTCAAAAAATAGAAAAGATTGGTGAAGGTACATATGGTGTGGTGTATAAGGGACGCAACCGAGTAACTGGTCAAATAGTCGCAATGAAAAAGATTCGTCTAGAGTCTGATGATGAGGGAATTCCATCGACGGCAATAAGAGAAATCTCCTTACTGAAAGAACTTAAACATCCAAATATTGTTTGTCTTGAAGACGTGCTAATGGAGGAAAACAGATTGTACTTGATCTTTGAATTTTTATCTATGGATTTGAAAAAATATATGGATTCATTACCACCAGAAAAATCAATGGAAACTGAGTTGGTTCGAAGCTATTTATATCAAATAACAAATGCAATTTTATTTTGTCATCGTCGCCGTGTCCTTCATCGCGATTTAAAGCCACAAAATTTACTAATTGATAAGAAAGGTGTAATTAAGGTAGCGGACTTTGGGCTTGGCAGATCATTTGGAATACCAGTCCGCATTTACACTCATGAAATCGTGACCCTTTGGTACAGAGCACCAGAAGTATTGTTGGGTTCACAGCGATACTCATGTCCAGTGGACATTTGGTCCATTGGTTGCATATTTGCCGAAATGGCTACAAGAAAACCACTTTTCCAAGGCGATTCTGAAATCGACCAGCTATTTAGAATATTCAGAATTCTAAAGACGCCTACTGAGGAGACATGGCCAGGTGTTACTTCGCTGCCGGACTATAAAAACACTTTTCCGTGTTGGTCAACAAATCAACTTACTAACCAGTTGAAAAATCTTAATGATCGCGGTGTCGATTTAATTCAAAAGATGCTTATTTATGATCCTGTTCACCGCATCTCTGCAAAGGACATTCTTGAACACCCATATTTTGACGGATTTAAAATGAAATTTATAAAGAATGAGAACGAAAAATAATACATCTTTTTAAACTTTTACAATATTATTTTATTATACATAATTTAATGCGTTTATTCCAATATATATAATAACGAAAATATTAACTGTTTTTATCCTTGGAAATGTATTAATATTACGATGGAGGTTAGTTTAAGGAATGTAATTTTTTGTTTTCCCAAATATAGCAAGCACACTTATTGCCTTAAACCACTGATAACGTTCGGTAATAGTTTGTACACCTTAAAAATTTACCATATAGCATACAATATTTATGTATTACTTTCATGATTACAATTTAATATTATAATTTGGACTTATTTTTGCGTGATCTAAAAGCAACCAAAGCATTTACAAACTCCTCCGTGGTAAAACGCTTGTATAGTTCCTCGGACTCAGCGTTCAGCGCTCGATACAACGCATCCTTCTCATGCATACGAATGAGAGATTTGGATATTTGCATTGATTCAGGCGGTAGTTCTGAGAATTCTCTAATAGCTGGCCAAATATGTGAATCTAACGTGTCGTCTTCAAATACCCTTGAAACAAAATTAAAGTTGTACGCTTCCTGAGCACTTAGTTTTTGGGACAATAATAGCATTTCTTTTGCTTTGGAGCTTCCAAGTATTAAAGGAAATAGATAGGAAGAACAACATTCAGGCACAATACCTAATTTTGTAAATGGAGTCAGGAAATATGCCTAAATTACACAAAAAATTAAAGATTTCATTTTAATTAAAGTATGTAAAATTTGCTCACCTTGGATGAACACCACACAATGTCACAAAGGCCTGCCAATGTAGCTCCAATGCCAATACAAGGTCCATTTACTAACGCCAAAGTCAATTTTGGACATTCAATTAGAGCACTAACCATTTCTTTAAATATAACGTTTGATTCTTTAATTTGGGCTTCAATATCTGAAGAATCATCCATAACTTGTGATAAATCATTTCCAGAAGTGAAAAAATTTCCTTTGCCCGTGATAACAACAATTGTTACACTGTCATCTTTGGCCGCATGTCGCAACACCAAACCAAGCGCTCTATATCCTTTTCTATCAATGCTATTAAGTTTTTCCGGCTTGTCAAATGATATCGTTAGGACTTTGTCCTGTACCTCAACATTAATTCCACTAACAGTCATTTTAGTAATATTTTAAGTTCTCGATACAAATTGAAAAAATTCTACCGGTTCCTCAAAAAACTAGCTGGCAATTAAAGTCCATTACTGATGTAAGCTTGCTTATCAATATGTGTAATTATTCTTTTAGATAAAAATAAAAGAGATGGTGATAAATGTTTATAGAATAAACGTCAAAAAACTGGCATACGAACATATGGGTATGGGAAATTTATAAAATTTCAGATTGGAATGGTTTTCCAATGTCAAATATTTTGACATTTTGTATAATTTGTGTTGATTTTGCAAATAAAAAACATTACCGGAGATAAGGTAAACGGTGCATTGAATTAAATTCTTGTCTGTTCATAAAAATGACGGATTTTCTTGCTGAAAATAATGCTTGTGGACAGAGTTTACTGCATATCGTTTCTGTAGGAAATTCAATAATTGCAGAAACATTACGCTTAAAGGATTATATTCCTGATATATATCGGTAAAGGATAAGTGTATAACAAAATTACCGAAGATTAATACAATGAATATTTAGTTTAGAATCAAAGGCTGACGTTCAAAAGTATTCTGAAATTATATTGGATTTTAGCTACCTAAAAATAGCGGAGGCGCAGGAGCAAAAGATTGAGGAAAATCCAGTAAGACAGTAACTGATTTCTTAAATTCTTATTTAGAAGAATTAACATTCTATCTCTTATCATTTTAGGAATTGCAAGATTTAGATGACGAGGTACGTGAAAACTATTTGGACCTTTTAACGCGATTTTATCTGGCCTTTGAAAGTACACATCAATATGCTCTGGATCTCAAGCAATTCATCGATGAATTGAATCGTGGCTACTACATTCAACAAACACTTGAATCGGTGTTACAAGATGTAGAAGGCAAACAGTTGATGGTAGTGGTCTTATTTATGATGTATGTTAATGCCAGCGTTTGTTAATACATATTATTCTAGTGTGAAGCATTATACTTGTTTGGCACGATGTTATTACTTCTTGATTATCATATACCGGGTATTGTGCGTGAACGCCTTTTAATATCATACTATCGATATAGTGCTGCAAAAGCGCAAGGTGATAGCAACATTGATGACGTGTGTATGTTATTGCGATCCACCGGCTTCGTAGCAAATAATGAATCGTCACCCTACAACGCAAAACTAACAACACCTTCACAATATCCTGTTTCATACTTCTCACGCTTTACATTTGACAAAAACTTTATTGATATGGTAATTGGTCGTTTACGATGTGACGATCTTTACAATCAATTAGCCATTTATCCACATCCTGATCATCGCTCTACTGCTCTGTCTACACAGTCGGCAATGCTTTTCGTATGCCTTTTTTTTACACCACAAACCCTTCATTCCCAAGTAGCACAAATGCGTGAAATTGTGGACAAATTCTACGCCGATAATTGGGTAGTATCAATTTACATGGGCGTAACTGTTAACTTGATTGATGCGTGGGATGAATTTAAAGCAGCCAAAGCGGCTTTGGCGCCTGTAGTGGATACTGGCGTAAAGGGCTTCTGTTTGTTGCATAAGGAGAAAATGACCAAGACTTTAAAACAAACGCAAGAAATACTACGAGCTGGTGTTTTGAATGACGACTTTGTTCTACAGAACATCACGAAAATTATCCCTTTAATGCGTCAATGTAACGTTTTATTACGATGGTATTTCACACATACATCGAAAGCAGTGGTAGTGTTGACTCAGAGTTCACAAAAGACTCAGCAGGTCGAACAACTAGTCTGCAATGAGTTAAACTATCGTAAGGAGCAATTATTGGAGCTTCTACTTGACTGTAGCCAGTTGGAGGCGGCTGTTAAGGATATATTGCGCGATTTAATGAACGCAAAAGCCGAACGATGGGCTAAGTTCAAGCATGAAGCTTTGGATCGTCTTAAAGAATTAGCCGAGGCATTTGGTGGCTCACGGCCGCTGTCAAAAATAGAAAACAACCCACAACTAAAGTTGTGGTTCAGTGAAATAACTAAAGAAGTTGAAAAACTTAGTGCGGAAAATGTGAATTTTTCGGGACGAACATTAATTCAACTGATACAAGCGCTCGAGGAGGTGGAGGAATTTCATAATTTGCAAGCAAATATGCAAGTCAAGCAGTATTTGTTGGAAACGCGTGAATTCTTACACCGCATGATACAGGTAAAGTAATATGGGCATGCATGAATTATATATAATAAAATTAGTATTTAACTTTGTAGATAATTAATATCAAGGAAGATATCCTCATCAATATGCAATTGATCAGTGATTTGAGCTACGCCTGGCGTTTACTAGATCGCGATTTCACCGTAATCATGCAGGATAGCATTAAAAAGCAACCCAGGTCAGTAATACGGTTACGAGCAGCATTCCTTAAACTTGCCAGTGCACTAGAAATTCCTCTGCTGCGTATAAACCAGGAACACAGTGAAGATCTTGTATCCGTCTCCAATTACTACAGCACCGAGCTTGCTAATAACATGCGTAAAGTTTTGCAAATTATACCCGAAACCATGTTCAGCATAATGGCACGCATCATAAATTTACAAACGGAGGTGCTGCGCGAAATACCTACGCGCTTGGAAAAGGACAAGCTAAAGGAGTATGCACAGTTCGAAGACCGTTATACAATCGCTAAGCTAACACATTCAATTGCCATTTTCACTGAAGGCATACTAATGATGAAAAAGACGCTGGTTGGTGTTATTGAACTTGATCCCAAACAGCTGCTTGAGGATGGCATACGTAA